GGCTCCAAAGTGCCTATGTTTGGTTGGAGAACTACGCTATTCAAAATTAGATGGTTCTAAATACCGTTGTTTTTTCACAACGCGAGAAACATGAAACATTCATGCAGATTCTTCATTATGAAGTTTCTTTAAATATACTGCATGGCGATATTATTTGGTAGCAACATTTAGAAAAGTGAAAAATACTTCAAATTGCAAACAAAATTGGAATAATTTCGTAAAAATTTCCATTTATTGACAAAAATTTCCAATAGCATTTTCAAAGTAATCCCCCTCTAGTGCAATACACGTACGCTTATATTTTTTCAATCCTCGGAAAATTATTTAAAATCGTTCCTATGAAATCACTTTAATATTCACGGATAATTTTTCTTTATTACATAATAAATTTAAAATGATGACCTCGAAGGCAGTAGTTTTAATCATAGGAATGCGAAAGGTCACAAGGTATCAAATGAGGTGGATATGGAGCTTGTGGAGCGGTAGGTTGTTTAATTCGTGAGCAAAACTTCAAAGTAACTTCAAATTGCAAACAAAATTGGAATAATTTCGTAAAGATTTCCATTTATTGACAAAAATTTCCAATAGCATTTTTAAAGTAATCCCACTCTAGTGCAATACACGTATGCTTATATTTTTTCAATCCTCGGAAAATTATTTAAAATCGTTCCTATGAAATCACTTTAATACTCACGGATAATTTTTCTTTATTACATAATAAATTCAAAATGGTGACCTCGAAAGCAGCAGTTTTAATCATAGGAATGCGAAAGGTCACAAGGTATCAAATGAGGTGGATATGGAGCTTGTGGAGCGGTAGTTGTTTAATTCTTGAGCATAACTTCAAAGTATTAGCGATGTGAATAAGTGCATTATTGTGGGACAGAAACAGTGTGTCATTTCGCTCTAATGCAGATCGTTTTTCTTCGAAATCGTTTTCGTAAATGCTACAACGCCCTCAAATAGTTTTCTGTATTAACGCAGTTTGGCCGCTTACCAGAAACGCATGAGGCAGAGCACCACGATAGACGAAGAAAATAGTTAATATAGCAATGATTGTTGACTAAGTTTGACTTGGACATATCGATCCTCCTCGACTCTTCGACGCCAGCCATTTATTTGATGGATTTTGTTTTCCAGCATTAAAAGTGTACATCTATGTTTCATTACTGTCTATAATATGATTTTTGTAGGTCTCGCCATTAAAAAGCATCTAGCTCCTCCACAAAATACAAATCTTACAGTAACTTTCTCAATAATATGCCTCATTATTAAACGACGACATCTAGTCAGCAGATCTGTTATTTGATTGACGTTCACTGAAGTAATATTTTGCCCAGAGCAAAAGCGGAGATATGCATTTTTAGCCCAAAGGGTTATTAGTCTCAAAATGGCATTTGCGTCGTTTCACTTTCTGCCTTGGTTCACTTTTCAAACTGTTGCCACCAAATATTATCGCCATGCAGTATATTTAAAGAAACTAAATAATGAAGAATCTGCATGAATGTTTCATGTTTCTCGCGTTGTGAAAAAACAAAGGTATTTAGAGCCATCTAATTTTGAATAGCATAGTTCTCCAACCAAACGTAGGCACTTGGGAGCCCCAAATTTGAATTTCGAATTTGTTTTATTACCCGTTTCAAATTTGGTAAAACTTTAAAGAATTTTTCATTAACAAACTCAACGATTTCAAAGCGAGCAGTGGCAGCACTGTAGCGAATAAACCATTTTTATCTCCAATGTACGAAACTCTCTATCAAAAATTCTAAAGGTTTTGCTGTTTTTAAATATTTTGTGATATCGCTGCTGTTGAATTGAATTTTATGCGAAGAACATGCAATTTAATAAACAAAGGTAACACGCAAAACGTTAAAAATAACGCCCTTTGGGGTGTAATGTAAAATCTGCAAGCTTTCAGGTTTTCTTTCTTTTTTTTTTTTTTTAGTTTTTCTATTTTTCGAATAAAGTATTCATCGAATAAAAATACTAAGCAACCTTTGTAAATGTATATATTTTTTCCCTACAAACGCATGTGAGAAAACTGAAAATTAAGTCGAGCTGAAAGTTTTAGCGAGGTGAGAGGAATAGTAATTGGCCTCCAATAAATAATTTTATGACAGCCCTCTGCTTAAAAAATAATAACTAAGCTAAAGTATACCCTCAATTAAGAGCGACTCTTTGAAATTTGTGTACATAATACCATCCCAATGACATACACTATAATCCGAAAATATCCCCCGTGGTCTTTCACGATAAACAGCCGGGTATCTGCGCCCACTTAAGAAGCATCTAGTTGCACATGTATATACATATACATATAAAATCACTTAGTAAGCTTGACGTGAAGTTTAAATATTATCTGTGTGACGTAAGAAGTATGAAATGATTTTTAAATCTTGTACAAAGGAAAATGATCTTGAGAAACTGATGTTTCCAACTTCCAAATTTTGAACGAGCCAGCATTATTAGCATATAGAAGAGGATATATTATGACAAAGCAATAAAATGCGATAAAAGTACGTAAAGTTATTAGGGTTTTGGATGCTGAAGACATGAAAAGTATAAAATTCCAACTTTGGACCTCCTGAACACGCGTCGATTATGCTTCCAATTACATCACGAAAGCATAGAGAAAACAAAGAGGGAAAAATTACCGAAATCGAAATCGAGTGAATGGTTAGGCGGCATTTAGTAGCCTCTGCTACTTTAACCGTTTCTGTTGGAGATATGCCCTAAGGCGTTGGGAAGAATTAAAAATTAAGGGGATTTACACCGCACCGACAAAGGTGAAGCAGGAACATGTGCTAATGCACGTGAGTTGGTCAAGTAGACAAGGAGGGTTCAAGCATCTGGCCGCCGTACAAGCCGTGATGTGTCTTCACTAGTTGAAGGAAGATGATACGTCGAGGCCAGTCACGTGGGTGGTCACCCACCCAAGTACTGACCCCGAGCTCTGTTGCTGTAAACAGGGGAACCTGTGTGTTGAAAAAGTGAAAAGAAATCGTAAACATAGTTTAGTTTAGTGACGGAGGACGTGGGCACCACCCGTTTACCATTATGGTTAATTGGTTTAGCGCCACGTCCACCCTTATCTAAAGCTGACTCATGTTAGAGCCACACGAGATCCACTCATAGGGCACATTGATTAGTGTTACAAAACATAGATATTAAAAATGGTTACATCTGTGTGAACACAGTACTTATGAACAAAACTTTAGCAAGTGACACATAAGATTACAATTCAATACCCTAGCAAGTTACATATAAAGTTTACAATTCAATACATAAAGAAGATATATCATACATAATGATTATATTATACTGTTGTGATTGATAAGTGACGACATTGTCAACATGAATTTACTAATGCAAAATTCAACATTTAAACTCAGTATACAAAAACCCAAGAACATACAAATGCTTATATTTCATACATTGCCAGCTTAAAAAATTTATAGTGGAGAAGTATAAAAATACTTAGATCTCACATAAGTCTCTAATATTCTGAATGTCATTGTTAACTTTTATATTACAGCTTACTACTAAAGACACAGTTATTATATTAAAATTGGATATTAATACAGTTAAATGAATAATTGCACTTAGACTATAAATACACTATAAAAACATTAATTCTTTACAATTTCTAAAATGCAATGATTCAAAACAATGATTATATGCGAATATTAGAACAATGATTCACTATAAATATACAATGATTCAATACTATTACTTAAATTAATGATAATACTATTCATATTATTAATCATATATGCCATGTTGACATCAAAATAATATTTTTTTTTCATACAGGTGCTTATTACTGAAATGATGTTACATATTACTAGCAAGCAATTCAAAAATAAGATATGTACAGTACAATTTTACTTGCACATTGGAAATACTATACAAATAAATAATTCAATACAATGATTCCGTACGATTACTCATGAATAATTCAATATTATGATTCTATACGATTATTCAAATGCAATGATTCAATACAACAATTCTATGCGCTTATTAGAACAAAAATCTATATAATTATTCAAAATTTCAATATTATTGCTCAAATTAATAAAAATACCATTTATATTATAAACCTCACTACCCAAGTGACACAAACATTTATTAATTACACCATTAATTAATCATTACAGCAATGATATTACATGTTACTTGAAAGCAGTTAATTATAAATTATGTACTGTACAGTTTTACCTTGCACACTGAATATTATAAATAATGTAATGATGCAATACAGTGATATTATACTGCTTCTTTAGAACATGTACCAAAGCAATAATTATATGCAGTGACTGAAGTATAAAGATTACGATACAAGTATTCAGTGATTTAATATATATATTCAGATTTGTAGTAATACTATATGTTATTAATAACATTTAAATATATGGGTATAGTCATTTAAGTACCTATTATAGTATTGATGTTACATTTACTTGTAAAGAAATCAATTGTTAAATATGTACAGTACAGTATAACTTGCACTTTATTTGTTGATTACAATTCAGTGATTCAATAGAATGATTCTTTGTGATTACTAAAATATAATAATTTAGTACAGTGATTCTATGCATTTACTAAGTACAATGATTAATCATACCATACCAGTTAACACAATGATGCTATAAAAAACAATACAATTACTCTTATTCAATATGATTACTCTATTTAGTAACAGAACTATTCCGCTATCAATTATACTAGTTAGGTAAACATTAAAAGTAATAACCTTATCATCTATACGATCATCAATACGATTACTCTATTACAATGTTTCAAAACTATGATACAATAAATTAATACTATACACAATTTCTCTGATACAAAACGATTACTGTACTAAAATAATTATTCAGTATAAATGTAGCCGAGGGAGTCCACATAAAGGGATAATTCTTAGTTTTTATTTGCATTAGTTTTAGCACAGTTCAAAATAGTTTATTTTATGATATACTTTAGAGACATATATAAAATTAGATTTGACACAGGTCAGTGCCGAGGTCCATAAGTTTATTAACAATTTTGTTAATCTTTCGTACTGCATGCTTGTTATTTTTAATCATGAACCTGCTAAATGCTTGCTCATTCGTTGGCGGGATCGGCAGGTGCAAATCAGTTGTTAGTGGGCAGTTAGCTACATAATGTTCGGGTGTGCCCAATTCACCGCAAATGCACTGTGCCGTATTTGTAATGCCAAACCTTTCAAAATATACAGGAAAAGGACCATGTCCCGTTATATACCGTACAAGTTGAGCATGTATTATGAGGCGATCATAAGTTACTGTGGGAATATGATAATAAACACGACGTCCTGTGTCGTCAGAGTTCCACTCTTCCTGCCACAGGGATTTGATTTTTTGCGTAAGATTTTTCTTTAGCCAGGAAATTGGCCAAGGTATCTTAATTTGTTCAGCATTTATGTTTTGCGCCGCTTCTTTGGCTAGCTGATCCGCCAGCTCGTTTCCTGTTTGGCCAGCATGGGCCTTTATCCATTGCAGCTTTACGTTTAAATGACTGTTGTCATGTAATTTCGACTGTATGTCTGCTATGAGCGGGGAACAGTGCACTGGATTTAAAAGTGCATGCAGAGACGATAAGCTATCTGTCAATATGAAGCTTCCATTATGTTGCTCCTGTATGATGTGGGTTAGTGCCCGGTCAATTGCTAACACCTCACTCTGGAACACACTATTATTGGTGTCCAGGTGACCTTTCCAAAGTGTTAGCGTGTCCAGGTTTCGCAGGGCTATGTAGGCACAGCCTGTGTTATCATCTATTTGGGAGCCATCTGTATAATATACTAAATCAGCATCCGTTATGTTGGTATTTTGCTTGAGATTAATGTTCACCCCTTTTCCCTGTTTCGCTGGATGATCACATAGCCGTATCAACTTCTTCTCATATTCCGCTGGGAAATAATTATCCTCATGGAGGGTTGCTGGTTGGCCTAATTGGGCGACTGTTTGATAAGTCGCTTCTTTTTCCACACTAAGATGCAACGGTGGCAGACCGGTCAATACACATAGTGCTTTAGTTGGGGAAGTACGAAATGCCTTGGTAATATTCAGTAAGAACGGTCGTTGTATGCTTAAGAGATGTTTTATCTTGCGACCTTGCATAGGTAATGACCAAACTGCCGCCCGTATGTAACAATTTTTTTCAATTACTGTTTTATACAGTACCTTCTGTATGTACGGGTTAAGGCCCCATTCGTGACCTTTCATAAACTTAAGTTGCTGAGCTATTCCCAGCGCCTTCTTCTTCTTCAGTTCCATAATATGTGGTATCCAATTTAGTTTGATATCAAATACTATTCCTAGGTATTTCAGTTCTTTAACAATTCGAAGTCGATGATTATTCAAAGTTATTTTTGGTTGTCTTGCGAGCGTACCTCCCTTTTTGGGAACTAGAAGTATTTGTGACTTTGCTTCAGATATCTTGAGTTTAATTTCTGCACATCTCTGATGAAATAGCGAGCAGGATTCTTGGGCGTTGGTCTGAAGTTGTTCTCTTGTTCTACCCCGAACGATGAGTGCAGTATCATCGGCATACGCAATGATGCGCGTGTGCTCTGGCCACGCATTGGTTAATATACCATTGAATGTTATATTCCAAAGAAACGGCCCAGCACACGAGCCTTGCGGGCATCCTTGATTTTGATTTTGCACTACCATACCACTATTATGGGGTACTATTAGCAATCGGTCAGAAAGGTAGTGTTCCAAAGTAAGATAGATATTTCTTGGGCATTTACTTAGGCGCAGGGCTTGAAGAACCGCTGGCCACCACAGCGTGTCAAAAGCGCTTTTTAAGTCGATGGAAATAAACGCTGTGTGATAGCCAGCAGACCTATTTTCTAGGATTTGATTCTTAACTTCTGTAAGCGCATGCAAAGTAGACTGTCCTGGACTAAACCCATATTGTATTGGGCTTAAGTATTTCGTAACATATAGATGATGCCGCAATCTTGTCATGATCAGCTTTTCATAAACCTTCCCCAAAGCTGAAAGTAGACATATTGGACGGTACGACTCTGGAGACGTTGGATCTTTATTCTTTTTCAAAAATAAGACCACTTGCCCAATTTTGAAGCTGTTAGGGAATGTCCCCGTTTGCAGGAGCTTATTGAAGAGTGATTGAAATAGAGTTACATTAGTGCTTATAATTGCTTTAATAATTCGGTAGTCAATACCATCCGGTCCTGGTGCTCTGCGCTGGGGAAGCTGGCGCAGCACTTGCTGAATCTCCCTGATTGTGAAAGTAAGGATCATTTGATGTAGCAATTTCTGAGGGCTGGTTCCTGATTGTGGTCTGTTCTAATGTGTCTTCTTGCGGATTGTCTGTGGTGAAGACTGCTGACATGATTGCCTTTATTGTATCTTCTGTATATTGGCCAGTACTATTGGGTGTTGGCAATATATGTAAGGTGGCTGGTTTAAAAAGTTTTCCTGCCGCAATCCTGTGGTGGAGTCCATAGGTGGTGGTTGTTTCTGTACAAAACTTTCTCCAGCTGCTAATTTTTGCATCTAAGATCATGCGTTTGTAATACGCTCGCTCTTGTTGGTAGATCATTAGTGTTGTGGATTTTAGTTGCTGCCTACGTTCTTGTTTGAGGCGTCGGCGCAGAGCACGACATTTTTGCTGTTGAGTACGCAGTGTACCATTCCACCAATGGAGTGCGGTAATTCTTTTTGTAGTACGCTTTGGGAGATGTTCATCACACACTTGTTGTATTGTTAATAGAATGTCTTTCGTAATATTTTGGAGGGTCTCTCTACTTACAGCATGTCTTATTGGATTAACGAAAGGTGTTAGTCTGTTACTAACAATAGAAGTGAAAGTGCGGACCTTCCGCCCTGGTAGGTTGTATCTTTGGATGATGTTAGTTGCAGTGCTGCTTGCTATACTATAGCGTATATAGTTATGATCCGATAGACTCTGTCCCTCAACTACTGTCCAATCACGTATTAAATTTGCCATTTGATGACTAGTAACTGTGAGGTCTGGCCAACCACGAGAGTGGAGCCTATCAAAGGTCGGCGGCGCATCTATTTGATTATGAATTACAAAGTTGTTGCTTGAGAAAAAGTCTTCGAAATGACGCCCTTTAGGTGTCGTATCAGCGTAGCCCCATGTGGTGCTATGGGCATTATAATCGCCAGCAAGGAGCATTTTTGCTATACGATGAGATTGCATTAGCTGTTGGATGCGTATTATGGTATGGTCCGCTTCTTCTGTAGGAGGGGAGTAGATGGATACTAACGCTATTGTCTGATTAAGTATTTCCAGTAAGACAGCCACAAAATCCCTCTCTAAAGCAAGCACAATCGGTGTCCATGCCTGGTTGCAGATTGTAATAAAAGCTCGAGGCGGTTGTGTTGAATCCTCTTTTTGAAATGTTGTCCATTGAAGCGGAAAACCCACAATTTTGCCGTGTCTGTGGTATGGTTCTTGACCAATTATTATATCAATCATTTCTTCTGTAGCGTAGTGTGCCGTTTGGGACATTGCGGCACGCGCTCGCTGAAGATTTATTTGCAAACATTTTATGGGTGTGTGTTGAGCTGATGATTTTAAGTTAATGACATTCAAGGAGGTAATGGGGTTTGTTGTTTGCGGACTTGCAGAAGTATTACAGAAAGATATCTCTCTTATTTCTCTAATATTCTGTTGTTCGTCGGATTGTATCGACTGCCCGTTGGTAGATAGCACATTCGGTTGCATAGGCTGGATGTTGGAAGTTGAGTCGTGTTCCGAATCTGCAGTTTGAATCTCCACAATTGATACAGGAGGGATGTTCTGCTGTACATTCTTTAGTTGCATGTGAGCCGGAACAGAAGCCACAGAAGATCTTATCGGATTTGCACATGTCTTGGCTGTGCCCAAATTTTTGGCAGCGATAGCATCTCTTAACACCAAAGAATTCTGTGATTCCGTGAGATTGCCAGGCTGTAAAAATACGCCTGGTATTAATGGCTGCTGCGAAACCTTCGGTCGTGCATTCAATGACCCACTTAACTCTTTTAGGACGTCTTTCTCGTAATCGGAAGAGTGGCTTGTATTGGTGGGCCGATGTTCCTGATGTTGAACTAAGTTCTGAGATGAGCTCTTCTGGTTTTGTGCTGTCTGGGACATTATGTATAGCTATCCTAGGGCGTCGTCGTTGTCGTTTTTTGACCTCTACGTCTATGTCTGCTTTTTGCAGATGTTCTTGTAGTTGATTAATCTCGTCTGAAGTTTGGCAAAATACCTCCAATCCTCCTTGTGGAGTTGGCTGAATTTTTTGGACAGTAATTGGTATTTCTGCCAAGGGAACTTTATTTTGTAGTTCTCTTCTGAGTTCTTCAGTAGGTTTTTTAGACTTTGATTTGATCACTACGCTTGGTTTGCTGATATTTCGTAGAACCTCCGCAAAAGTCGGTTGTGAGACAGTTGGCAAGGATGGTGGTACCTGCAAATTGTGTGACTGTTGGGCAGGGGCAGAGAAAGACTGAGGATGAACCAATTCACAGCAAAGCACAGTTGAAGTATTTACTCCTATATCGATCTTAGCAGGCTTGACTGTATAATCCGGACCCTCTAAGGCCAGCGTCTGGAGTGCGGCCAGGGAGTCTAAGAGTCTAGCACGAAGATCTGTTGGCAGTAGGTATTTAGTGCGTTTATTTGTTGTTGCGACCTGCCTTATATCATCGCACAAAGTAGAAATCTTTTCTGCGTAGGGCAGATCAGAGGCCAGTAGCTTTGAAGCGTCTAATATATTTTGTGAGTGTGTAGGATCACCATCAGTTGGAAGCACTGATTGACGGGACATACTTTGAAAGATTTATCCTTAATATGCAATTGACACTATTGCAGTGAGACACTTAGTTAGAATGTTTTGACAAAGGTTTCTTACTAAAGGTAAAGTATGTGAGCAGAAGGTATCCCTTTACACCCAGGACCAAGGAATTACAGTAAATAAAACATACATATGAAATTAAAACAGAAACATTACAAGAAAAACCGTAAATAAAACTTAAAGTAAACTGTAAAACATTATGACTTAAAAAGTGCTATAACTAATAAACAAGTTAGTTAAAAAAAGCAGTAAAAACAGATAATTAAAACATTACAGTATGCAAAATGAAAGTATACAGTGTACAAAATACAATTTCTCACAAAAAACACACTGAACCCTCATATAAAGAGCTTTTAACAGTAATTAGTAGGACTGTCGAAATGTAGTAAGAAGTCGTCGAAATGTCCCTCGACGTCGAAACGTATCTCGATTGAAATACAATAGAGTCGTTCAAAAATAAGACTCTTAATTACTGCTTTTGTATAGGTACAATGAGGTCCTAACCTGAAGGACCGACACTTGGCGCTTCAAAATAATTTAGAGAAATCGTAAAGACATGAACTCAACTGGGATTTTGAAAGAGACGATATTATAAGTTGGCACAAAATGTTATTAGGCTGACCAATCTATTTTTTGAAAATATTGCAATTAGAGGGTTGAGATTCAAATAAAAAGGTAAACATACCTTTGATATGAAGATCCTGTAATGCTAGGTGCAGTAGATCCTGAGATATTGAATTTTTAAAAACAATTCACCAATTTTGGACTTATAAAAACCTATCCCAATTTGCTATGCCTACTATGGGAACCACGTGGCAGGCAGGCGGAACCCTACCGTCGGAGCTGCGGCATACACACACCGTACTTTGTGGCAGCCTAGATTTCTTGTTATTCACAAAAACACTTTTTTCTTGGGAAATACCAATCACACACACTTATTCATACAGCAAATCGATGCGTAGTATTTCCACAAATCATCATCTCATCAGTGTCATGTGCCCGGCAGAACTTTCAGCGGGTTTTTGCAGCGCGGATCTTTCACGTGCTCAACCTATGTTCAATTTTTGATTTTAGGATCTTGGATCAATTTATATCCTTGTACTCTGTGGGGGATTTCCAATTTTTTCTTATCTATCACTGTAGAGGTTTCATCTGGGTTTTACTGCTGTCTTCCTCTGTTTCGAAGAATTTCGAAAATCTCCGGCGTAGGGATCTCAGCTGCTGGCTTCGCCTGCTGCTTCTTGCTTCATATCGCTTCTTGTACACGGGGCAACCCCTGTATGAATTACATGCGGTTTGTCAGCAGAAGATGCACTTAGGTTTTTCTTCTGGCTTTAGAGGGATTCTTACTTCTATGGTGCTGTCCACACTTGCAGAATCGCTCAGGATTTGAGCAAGATGTTGCGAATGTCCATATTCTTGACATCTATAGCATTGAATTACGCGTTTTCGGGGCAAACTTCTCGATCTTGACATTAACACGTAACATATTGTTGAGTCCATGAATTGCACGTCCTTCCTTCGTTTTCGTCAGCTCCAACAGGAAAATCGGAAGTTTCTCGATAGCGTCTCCTCTCGTCTGGAAAACTGCTTGACTTTACTTATCGGGAATTTCCTTCTCTCCAGATCTGCCTGGATTATTTCTTCTCATCGTCGATGGGAGGCCTTAAGAAAAATCTTAATAGGTTTTTCGCTGAGTAACTGGAAAGTATGAAATGGTATATTTCTTTCTGCAAAACCGGAGTTGCTTTTCTGTAATCGCTACGACTTTAAACAATAGTAGTTTCATTTCATATCGGCTTCGAATTCTTCACTGCAGGTATTGATAAGGATTTCATGAATTTTAGGTAGGCCAATCCCTTCGCTTTGCTGGGAAAACTATTGGGGGGTGGAGTTCCTCCTTTTTCCGGCTCCTCCTTCTTCTTCCATACTTTCTACTTCACTTAGCTGCTCAAAATCGATTTTCTTTCGCAACTTCCATTGGAGCTTCGTTTTCTGTTACTTTCGCGGTTTTCTTAGGAGAAATCCCTTTCTGTTTTTTGCTCTCTGTTCTGCTTTCAGTTATCTTTTCTGGACAGAATTTTCTCGTGAATGACTCTACATCCATATCAGGCTTAGCTCTTTCATGAAAGTAAT